ACTATTCGCTATTCGCTATTCGGGACTATTCGCTGTTCGCTATTCGCGACTATTCGCTATTCGCTATTCGGGCTTTCCAGACACCCTCGTTGGTCAAACACAGGACGCTTAAAATCTTATATTAGCCCGTCACGCTTCAGAGTTGGCAGATTTCTGTTTCGTGACATATTTTAACCGAAAAGACATCGTTTAGATCTTTGTTTTACATGTTTAAAAAAATCGGATCATTACAACGGGTTGAGTGTACGTTCTCATCTTTTTCTTCGTCGTCTTCGTTCACAAGAAAATTGAAGGTCTGTCATGATTTATATAAGCTAGGCAGCTAGGCTTATATAAAAAGTGCCGGCTGTTTCTGAAACTTGTTTTATCCTCTTTACGGTCGGCCATTAACTTACTTCGCTGTCTGAGAAGACAAGAGTCGCCATCGACTCTGATAGACCCTGAAAACGCGATTATAAGCGAGTTTGACCGAGTAGCAGTGTAAATAGAGCATTGTATTTTCCTTTATGACTGAACTGACTCTTATAGAAACCATGTATCGTAGTTTTAATCAATACTCGGCCGAATTCTGCTTTTATACCGACACTTCGTTGCTTTACACGTACACGATGCGGATTTTCAGTGATCCATCCTGCTGGTACATATTCTCCGCTTCAGTTTAACCCGCGAAACGCTGACATCCACCTTTGAATCGATCTGAAGCTTTTTTCATCAGAGCGGATGGCACTTAGCGAACTCTGCCGTTCACGGGTTCTGACAGAGTTTGATCACAGTGTTAAAGTGACCTTGGTCAAGTCGGCAAAAAAATAGCGGAGCAAAGTTGACATACCTTCGTATTTTGAGTCCTGATCCGTCATTACGCTTATAACGGTCGATGACCAATTCACAGAACGACTCACGGAATATGAGTATTGTGACTCTATTCTGTTTTAACGGGCACTGTGACACTTACAATATTAGCCTCCGTTTGGGGTGTGTCACGCAACTACATGGGCATGCACCGTTAGTTTTTGTTGTCAATAATTCAAGCAAAAATTGTTCAGTTCTTATATACTTACCATCTCACTATGTCTTTTCATTTTTAAACGTAAAATGAAAGCCTTCCTCTTAAATCAATTTTTAATGTCATAAATTGAATATGTAACCAGTTTTTCAATAATTGTTTATCAATAATCTTTGCGTATTTATGTACAGTGGAACCTCGATTTAACCAAGTCGCTGGGGACCGGCCAAATTTGTTCGTTAAATCGAAGGTTCGTTATATCGAAAACCTCGATAGAACGAATTTGAGGGGAAACGACCAAAATGTTCGTTATATCGAGGTCATAGTTAATGATTGATTTGTAACACATGTGACTTCTGTCAAGTAATTCAATGTAATTTTCGTCACCCAGAAGTGCCGCGTTTTGAGATGCAATTCATTAAGCATGGTTTCTTTTAGCATCAATTATTTTCACTTTTGAGCAGACGCGCAGCTTTTGTTTACAAAAGAACAACACTTTCAGAGTAGCGATTTAAAAATGTTGCAACACAGAGGTTATACAGAAAATTGTCTATGTAAACAAGGAAACATTGTAATTCGTTATATCGAGGTAGATTTTACGTTTGGGCTTCCGAGTTATGTTCGTTATATCGAAGAATTCGTTATATCGAGGTTCTGTTCCATACATTTTACTGTAACTTTGGCCGGGACATAGAATATCGTTCGTTATATCGAGGACTTCGTTAAATAGAGGTTCGTTAAATCGAGGTTCCACTGTAATTATCTTTATCATTTGTCTCTGAAAAGCCCCCATGGGGAGTTGACAATAAACTTTGTGTGGTATTGTATTACTTAAAGGTAACCCTACCAGGCTGTGGAACAGACAGAAATAAACGTCGTGTTCAATATTATAGCCCGGTAACGTTTTTTTTTTAAAGAGCCGATTTTGAGAACACGGTCGCCGCCATATTGGTGACCAATCTTTCTCGCCCTCACCTCCTCTCACACGTTCTATCGCTGCACGCTCGACGGACTAAGAAAAAGTACGAAATGCTGGTGGTCTCTGTAGATCGCGTTCAAGAAATCCCCTCTAAATCCACATCGTTCTGCATGTTAAAATAACGTTAGTGAGTAAAAAAAAGTAGATAAAAAAGTAATGTAATTCTTTATTAAACGTGACCACTCCGCTCAGTGCTGAAAAGCTACTTTACAGGAAACCCACTCTTAAAATAACATAAAAGTACATTAATTAATAAACAAGTAAACAAAAGAAAATACAAACTAGTTAAAATGTTTACGAACTCTATACGAGCAGTTTGGAGGAGTATATGAGTAATGAATACTGTCGACAGTGATTATAAAATCAAAGAGCTCATCGAGTAGCTCTTAATAATCGTTCAGTTTCAATGAATCAAATAAGACAGTTTCGCCACAGGCAGACCACTCAATGTGTTCGAAGTTAATAGTCGTTTATGAAACGAACAGAATCTGAGGAAAGCTCTGAAAATTGCATATCGAAATAACCTCTCGATCTGAATGTCCCAATAAAGTTAAATGAAACGTTAATCGACTCGTGTGGCGTTTTTTCGCCTTCGTTACGAAACAGTACAGTAATTTCGTAAAAAGATGCTTAACTCACAAGATATTACACTGCTACATGTAGATTATTAACTTCGTAATTCATTTAGTTGATTTATGTTTTTTTGTATAACAAGCCTTCTGCTGTGAATCTATCAGAAATAAGATCCTAAGTCTCAGTGACAGATAGAAGGTCAATAGATGGAACACTTATCTCAGGCTAGCGCTTATCAACAAAGAGAAAAATAGAACCAAGGATTGATACGGCAAGAACACCAGAAGTGTTTGTAATCACTGGACTGGCCGAAGATTGTTTCTAGTCCTTGATGTCCTTGATTGCCTTCAGAATAGTTCCTTTAATCAAATCAGCGTATTTCTTGGCCGTGGAATCATTTACGATGTTGCTGAAGTAAACGACAGTCCAAAACAGTTTGCCATTGAAAGTAACAATGTTATTGCCAAAGATGGTCCCATATTGATGTTCTGCTGAACAGCCGAACCTGGCGCGGAGTATGACCTCATCTTCAGGAGATCCATCTAGGAACTTTGCATAGCCGAGATTGGTGAAGACTACCAGCTGTTCAGCGCGTCCACTAGGNCTACAATGTGATGAAATCCAAGCACACAGATGCACTCATGAGGGTATGATGTTATGCCTGGCATGTCGTCTTCTGTAACTGGCTCATATCTAGCATTGGGCAGGAATGTTACCCTCCAAAGGGGACCATTATCTGCATCAAATTTCTCCAGCAAACTGTCCTCCATCACAGTCCTCCAGTCGGTGGTATCAAGTTCTCGCAAATCCACATGAGCATTGGCCATTTTCTGCAGGTAGTAATCTCCATTTTGAGCCTTTTTGGTGCACATGCACAGCATAGGGTGTCTCTTCATGAGCAGCTCCATTGCCTTTCTCACCACCGGACCTGTGATTGGCTTCTTGGATCTCAGAACCAGAGTGTTGGCGAGAATAAGCTTTCCGTCCACGTCATGACATACGCTCAAGATTTCCTCCATTATACCCATGGGGCGTCCTTTATCACGGGAATACTGCTTTTGGAAAGCTTTTCTCCTGGCTCTATGTTTTCTCCACAATAACGTCAAAACTATTGCTACAACTTCACAGCCTATGGCAAAGGCCATCGTAATGCCTTTAGTTTCTGAAATGAGAAATTTAAAGAGTTAAAGTTAAAGAGAGCTTCTGCATGGATCACATGGCACCTCTCAGACGACCAGTAACATATTGTTTAGATATGATCGGTTCCTTCGATTCCTTAAACTTGAGAAAATATCAGACTGGCGGTCATTTTGTTGCATTTTGTGACCGGCTGTTGGTCACAGCATCGATGTTTCTAATTTAATTCTTTTGTGGCAATCTCGTTTTGCGTGACATTTCTGGTTCTCATATTGTTGTC